AGTCATTAATACTGTGCTGAAGTGGGTGCTGGAGTAGAGCAAACGCAATCGTGACTGTTTACATCTTTGCCAGGGTTAGGTGACATTTAAATGGAGCCTCTTCCCTAATAACTTCAAGAGCAAGAATGGAGTCACCATCCAATCTTTACTGGAGATAGGTGTCGCCTTTGGGTTTCCCATCTGGGGACTCCCTAGGACTTAGTGCTACCAGTTTGTGGTGGGTAGGGGTAAAGGTGGGCTCTTGTCTCGGCAGACCTCTGTTGTACCCCACAGGCAAAGCTTACCACTCAAGAAGGGGGCATCTCTTCTGTGTTGGGTGTTGTCCAGGGCTGATGACGGGTTTGAGTTGAGGAGCTGCAGTCGGGACATGTTGGACCGGTGTTGTGGATCGACCAGGCAGAGGTTAGACTGAAGGTGAAGGCTCACGCTGTGTGAGAGCATGGTGCGATGTGCCAGGCTGGTGACCATCAGGTGGGCTGGGTAGTTGGGGACAGCTAAAGAACCAGAAGGCATCAAAGGGGGAAGTAGTTTGGGGTAAAGAGCCTCAAGAACGACTTCTGTTGATGACAGTGATCCTTAGCAAAAAAGAGGTGTCCCTTGTCTTCTTGAGAAGGATCCCTGGACATAATTTTCTTCCCTACTCTTCTCCAAAGAGAAGACAGGATCAAAGGGGGAGGCTGGCTGTGTCACAGCCTCCAGCTGCTACCGGGCACCGGAGCTCTGACTTCGGTGAAAAGCGCTGGATGGTGCATAGCAAAACAGTCATGGTGCAAAGGACGTGGCAGGGTGCCCTCAGCTACAGTGCCGTACTGGAAAAACTCCAGCTGTCCCTCCACATATTTTGGGTGCAAGCCAACAGCAAAGGCCCCAAGAAAGTGCCTTTTGCCTCTGTTTTGTGTCCTTGACCACCTTGGCAGTGGGGGAAGAGCGATTCCAGCATTTTGTGGTCTGCTGTCCCTCTCTTGATGCTGAGGAGCGGTGGGAGGAGGAACAGCGGGTGCTCTTTGTGCAGAGGGACGATGGGGGGCTCTGACTCCTCTCCCCTTCCCTGTAGCTCAGCTCCGCAGAGCAGCGCCTTCCCCTCCCACCCTGCGGCCTTTCCTGCTCTCAGCCTCTGCCTTTGTGCCCCTGTCCGGAGGGGAAGGTTCCCCTGCCATTCCCCATCCGGATTGCTGTCAGAGAGGGGTGAGCACGTGGTATCGATGAGCCACGGCGGTGCGGAAAAAATACTTCTTTATGCCTTCTCTGCCCCCTCTTTTCTTTCAGCGTCATTTGGCCACTCATTTCCCTCTTCCGCAGATGGTCCTAAAACCTTCAGCTACATTTTGGCCAGTGCTGGCGTCCTCCCAGTCCCTACCAGTCGCTTGTGCCTCTGAGACCATTCCCTGCTGCTGAAGGGGAAGATGAGGCAGTGGTTGGAGACCTCGTAAGAACCAATGGATTAAGCAGTAGAAACTAGGGGGGAAAACGCCTGTTCCAGGTCAGGATTCGTGCCATTGGCAGATTTCTGGCCAGAAACGTGGACCTTCAGCCCCTGGGCCAAATGCACCTTCGTGGAGGCAGTTGCTGGCTTCGTTGATGGGGGGCTTCCTGCGTCACCTCTGCATCAGACGGTGCCATTTGAAGGAAGGGGGAGCTCTGCAAAATTTAGCTTTCAAGTATCGGCTGTAACTGGCTGCCCTGGCTCCATCCTTGCACGGTCCTGTGCTGCCCTCCTGCGCCTCCCCCGCTTCCTGGGCAGGCGTCCCCTCTGCTTCAGTCTCTCCTGCCTTTCCCAAGCTCCACTGTGGCTGAGAGATGGGTGGGGATGCTGAGATGGGTGTCACTGGTGCGGAGCTGGATCAAACTGTCTGTTCCCTCTGTGCCAAAAAAACCTCCAAAGCTGCCTGGGGCACCTGCCCTGCAGCCGTCCGGGTCGCTGGGTCCCACTCTTCCAGACCCGCGAGTCCCTGCTCTCTCCGATAAGCTGCTCGGCCTTCAACAGCCTGCCCTGAGTTTTCCGACACGCAGCAAAGCTGCTTCAATTTTCCAATTACCCTCTGCTGACACCGCCGGGGCCTGCAACGGAGCTGTGTGCCACATCACAGGTCTCAGCATCTTGGCAGCTCTCGCCGTGCCCCGTAACAGAACTATTATCCTTTATCGAACGCTCTGGGCTTTGCAGGATTTTGCTGTGGTCTGCAACAGAAATGTTACCCTTGCCAAATTTCCCAGTGCTCTGCCAGTTTTTCCTGCCCTTTACAGAATTATTATCCTCCATCTCGCTGGGCTTTGCTGTGCATAAAGTCAACGTTGGCGTTACACAGCCCTGGCTTTCCGCTGGCCGTGGGAGTGATGCTCCTGCCCATCTGGAGGAACCGTTACGCGGGCAGGGCCGTACGCAGCCTTGGGGCTCCTGGCCTTTATCATCAGCCCTTTGCTGGGGTGAGGATCGGGCTTATCTTCCCCGTTCCCTCCCGTTCCGCTCTCCCTTTCATCTGCTCCGTGCAACCCTCCCTCCCGCTCTCGACTTCATCCCATTTCCCACAGAGAGGACAAACATAAGCGAAGGCAAAACATGCTGCAACCAGTTTGCTTTGGGTCCTGCCTCCGGTTCCCCGCAGCCCCTGCTCCCACGCTTTCCTCGCCACCTAACAAAATAGCTGGGGGACAGCTAATTAGCTCAAGGGACAATAGTTACCCTCATGGATACCCTTCAGTCCTCCTGCCCTCTATTTCCCTGCCTTGCATGATGTATCCAGCCCTTGCTGGCTGCAAGAAGCACTGAGGTCTCTCCAAGAAAACCACGGTATGGAGTGGGAGCGGGACCACGATCTTATGTCAACCCACTGCAGCAGCAGCAAGGGCTTTGCTCGGGAGGGGCAGCCCCGCTGGGTGATTCACGGGTGGAAAAGGGCCTTTCAGACACAGGCGACTGCTGTCGGGAGCAGGGTGAGGGCGGCAGCACGGAGCCTGCAGCCGGGCTGGGGAGCGGGACGGTTCTGCAGCAGCTGTATGGTAATTCCTGTGAGAAGACGGGAAAAGGAGCCTGGGTCAGCTCCTGAAGCCGGGGGATTTCAGGAGAAGCTGGATGTTGTGCTCTTGTGTGCGTGGGGAGGGAAGGGACCACCGCGGGTATGGCACAGGGAGGAGGAAGATGAGGAGGTTCAGGAGGAGGAGGAGGTTCAGTCCCAGCCGGGAGGTCAGGCTCTGACCCTCTGCACTGGATGGTGCCATTGCAGTGCAGCCAGGGATGAGCCCGGGTGATGGAGGTGTTGGGAGAAGAACAGGACTGAAGGGTCCCAGAGCCCTGCAAATGCAGATGGGGCTGTGGCTGCCATCGGGCAGCACCGGGAGACCCTCAGGGTCCGAAAGGCTGCACTGGAAAATCTGGGAGCTCCATCGCCACCATCCCCTCCCCAGCCCTGGCACTCGGCCCTGCCTGCAACACCGGTACCAGCCCTGGTTCTCACCACCCAGCCCAGGTTGAGCACCGCGTGCCAGTGCCGCAACGGCTCAACCTACGCCACGGGCGGCCGCAGCGCTGTCCCGCGGCTTTGCGGCACATCCAGCCTCCATGTGGTGGCATCCCCATGCGTGGAGCTGCGAGATGGGATCGGCTCCATCCCTGCGGCTCCATCCAAAGCCGGGTCAGCCCCAGCATGTCCTCGGTGCCGCTGAACAGCACAGGTCTCTCCAGGACAGGACTGCATTGCAGGGAAGGGCTGTCCTTCGCTGGGTTAGCGCGGCTGCTCTCCGGCTGCTGGCTCTGAAGAGCTGCTCGGTGCAGGGGCTGTGGGCCAGCAGCCGTGAGCGGGGAGCAGGGGCCTCGTGGTGGCTGCACACCCCTCACCGATGGGCAAGACGGGGTTTTTCGGAGGGTAAAGCTGCAAAAGCCTGCGGGGCCGAGTCCTTATCTGTGCCCTCAGCACAGGGATGCCTGGGCAGTGCAGAAACCCCTGCTAACGCGGAGCAGGAGAAATTGTTCGTGCCCTGAGCCGGGGAGATGGCGGGTGCTTGCTGCCCCCAGGGGATGGAGGGGGCTGGCGCCGGGGCTGTGCACGGTGTGCCTCCATCGCTCCCCGCAGCCTTCGCTCACGCACTGCCGGCTGCTTGCTGTGCTGGGGGATATTCTTCCGTTGAGCATACATGTCACCAGGGGAAGCTATTTTTGATAAAACAAACAAATCTTTCCAGCTTTTCTAAAAATAACCATTGCCCTTTTTTCTCCCCCTCCCTTCCCAGCTCAGGCTGCCTTAGAGACAGAAATCCGCCTCGAGCCATCCAGTTATTAATACCAGTAAACAAACCCTTATCTCCGCTGCCTTGTTCTATCGGGAACATGTGGGGGTGGAAGCCACCCGGCTGCCAGGAGCCCACCTCCCCATGTGCCCGCATCCCTGCTGCCTGCCGCGGCGTGGTCCCACGCTGCCCCTCCTGCCTGGCTCCGGCCGGCACATGCAGCCAAGGTGGCTGCTTTGGGTTTGATTTGGGGTTATTCCTTGTGCTGCTGCCCCCTTTGCTGGCTTGAGCGGCTCATGGTATGCAGAGAGGGATGCGATTGCCCTTGCAGGTGCTCAGGACGCTGCCTTCACCTGCTGCCCCTCAGCATCCCCATCCCTGCCTGCATACGGTCCCCATGGCATGGGGATCGGGGGGCTCACAGCACAAAGGGGGCAGCTCTTCCCCACAGCAGCACATGGCAGAGGCTAAAAATTCAGGTTTAAGGGAAGACCAGGATTTGCAGAGGCTTTCTGCACAGGGAGAGACCCCGCCAGGCCCTGTGTGATGGATGGACGGAGTATTTCTCAGCAAGGAGTAAAAAGAGAAATACCTTTTATTACAGATAAAAGCCTCTTATGTTTCTAGAGAGCAGAAGGCAGCCCCACTACGGGACAGGCACGCAGGCAGGTACAAAGCGCTTGGTGCCAGGAACATGGAACTGCTGCAGAGTCGTCTTCCTTCTCTTCCTCCTCCTCTTCTTCCTCCTCCTCCTCTGGCTCCCAGGAGGCAGCCGGAGGTCAGTAGCAGTGCGCGATGGGCTCCATGTTGAGGAAGCGGACGTGCATCTTTGTTTCGATGTCGATCCCCTGCCACATCTGCAAGGGGAAGGGGGTGAGCGGGGCCAGCACGGGGGCTCGGCTCGGCGCCCACACCGAACGCCCAGGTCCCTGCGATCGCCCGGCGCCCTTCTCCTGGGGAGCCGAGCGGAGATGCCACCAACCTTAAGGAAGTCTTCAAAGGTGATGCCCTCATACACCTGGTCTGGCCCCTGGGTGCAGCAAGAGAGAAAACATTACGGCTGCCCCACACCAACGGGGCAGGGGCCTCGGGGCACTGGGTCACCAGGGGGTGGGTCCCTTGGGGCTACGGGACGTCTCCCATGGGTGCACAGTGCTGGCCCCGCAATGTGCCCCATGGCTAGCCCAAAATTGTTCCCCAGAACCACCATGGCTTCAAGGAGATGGCTTTTTTACAAGCACTGAAGCCCCAAGCACCAAGGATGGTGCTTTATGGGGTGCTGTTTGCTTATCCCCCTTGGGCTTTTATAATGAAAAACAAACAAACAAACAAACACTGAAAGCTGCTGCCTGCAAAAAAATTTTCTCTGGCCAAAGCAGCCCAGGGAGAGGGGAGATGCCCCGGGCAGGACGGACACCTTCCAGCCCCATTTTCGCTACCATCACAGTGCCTCTGTGCTGCGGTACGGCAAGGAACCGGCTCCCACCATTTGTCCCACACAGATGCTGGCCGCCTCCATCATGGCCCCATCGGCGATGGACCGCGCCGACTCCTTCTCCAGGTGGGGGTTTCCCGACAGCAGCTCCTCCACCACCTATGAGGCAGCGGGTCAAAGCCGGCGCCAGGAATTTGGTGGTGATGGGGCAGGAGGGACCATACATTACATTTCTGTACTCCTGCAGCGTGATCTTCCCGTCGTGGTCGGAGTCGTACATGTGGAAGAGGACTGGGAGGGATGAGAGGAGCGCGGCAGGGTCAGGGGAGCCCCGTCCCGCCATCCCCCCGCCGTCCCTGGGCTTTGGGCAAGCCTCACATTTGAGTTTCTCTTTCCGGAAGCGATCGAGCTGCTCCTCGTCCATGTTCATCTCAATGGGTCTGAAGTAGGACATGATGGTCAGGAAGTCTTCGAAGTTTATCTCATCCGCCAGGCCGTCCGACTCCTGCCGCAGGTTCCTGCCGAGAGCAGAGACGCTGGTGACAGGCAGCAGGGACCCCCCCGGCCGCCCGCTCCCGCAGAGCCCAGTGCGTCCCTCAGCAAAGCTTTAGGACTGGTTTTTCCCTAAGACTTAGCTTAGTCTGTAATTTTCACCCTGGCTCCATCCCAGCCTTTAGGAAGAAGATCTTTGCCCAGCCACATCCCGCTTTCGGAGGATAAACCCATCACCCCGACCCTCCTCGCGGTGCCAGGGATGTTCTTACCGCTTGTCGAAAAAGGCATGGACGATTTTCCCCCTAATTGGGTTGAACTCCAGATCGGGGATGCTGTCAAAATTCTCCTTGCTGCAAAAGAAACAGAGACAGCCCAAAGCGTGAGGGAGCCACAGAGGAGGGAGATGCTGTGAGAGTCGCTGAAGGGCTGGGGCAGAAGCCCCCAACCCCGTTCTTTCAAAGCAATCATGGAAAAGAAAGAGGTTTTTGCACGAAAACCCCTATTTGCCTCAATTCAGACTGAAAGCAAGCCATGCTGCCACATCGGTCTGTGCTTGGTGCAGCTACGGGGGACTTTTGTCCCCACTAAAATGGGTCTTTGGGAAGCTCTGGGACACAGCAGCTCAGGGCCGATGCTGGGGCCCTTTGCACGGCTCAACCTGCAGGGTTTTGAGAGAGTTTTCCCAGGAATAAGGTCCTGAATGGGTCTCAATGAGGTGAGGGAAAGCGCTTCTGCCATCCATCCTCCCCTCGGCTTCTTCTGCCCTGCACCGTCCCGCTGCATCTCGCTGCCGCCCCGTGCTCAGCACCAGGTTGAGCCTGTGCTGGTCGTTTGCTATTGACTTTTTATAAAGCAAATGAGCCAAGAAATGATCTCCGGGGGAGGGGAAGGAAGCAGAAGGCAGCCGGGCTCCCCGGCCAACGCTGGCTCCTCGCGTGGCTGGTGAAGCTGCCAGAGCTTTCCTGAGGAAGCGGAGTCGTGGCTTTGGTGCACAACTGCCTGCACAGACGCCGAGGAGAGGGAACAGGGCAACTGCAAGCCCTGCCTTAGCTGCTGTGTAGGGATTTCTCGCTTCCCTCCCCAAAACTGATTTTAAAGCTGGGGGAAAAAAACGGGATGCTTGGCAGGAGGCTGCTCTCAGGCCACTGCTTTGCCACTCGTTTTTCTGCATATGATTTGCAATGCCACACTGCAGAGAGCCAGCTCAGCACGGCCGTGGGATGACCGGGAGGGACACGCTCGTCCTCACAGCGCGGGGAGCCAGGTGTCTCAGCTAGGCAGCCTTCGCCAGCCTGGGGAAGGCAGGCGCCGGGACGATGCTGGGGCCAGCCCCGGCGGGGCAGGTATCGCCCCGGCAGTGGAAATGGAAACGCCGTACCGGATCGTCAGCTGGTCCCGGCTCAGCTGCTTGAATCGCCGGTGCAGGTGCTCGATCTGTTCAGAGGTGACTGTCAGGGGAAAAGAGAGAGGTGACGGGGGTGAGCTGCCTGGGCACAGCGCAGCCCCCAGGGGACCCTGGGACACCCATCTGCAGAGCTCATGTCCTGCCCAGGACACGAGGAGACTGGTGGGCACCAGAACCTGCCGCAAAGCTTGTTCCCTGGGGACACCACCGAAGCCCACCCAGTCTGGCAATAGCCAAAAGGCTGCCTGCTCCCGCACCCCCCCATCAGCAGGGCAGGGCCTTGGGCACTTCTTGGCACAGTTGTCCCCATCCCCATTTCCCTTTGGTGGCTTTATGCAGCCCTGTAAGGCCCATCTTGTTGCCTCCGTCCGTGTGTGCTCTGTCCCTTGCTCACTGCAGGGGGGTGACAGGGTGACGCCAAGGCCTGGCTTATCACCAGTCCTGGTTTGCAGAAACTCCCCTGGCCCAGACTGCACGGCACGGCATGGCATGACATGGCATGGCACGGCACGGCAGGATCCCACCCCCCCCCAGTTTAGGCTCCTCGGTAGCAGAGCCTTCAGACAGGCTTGACCATTTCATTTGGGGTTTGTTGGCACCGTGGGCAGGAGCCATGCCCAGGGAGCACGTCTCGACCTGCCCCAGGACATCTCTGCGTGCGGCCGGGAGCGCTCATGCCCACAGCCATGCCGGGTGACAGAAAGTAACACTAAAAGAAAAAAGAAAACCCCAAAGCTGACAGCAGCCACCTGTGTCTTGCCAGGGGCAAGGAAAGGCTGAACATGGAGGAGACGCATCGGCACCCCAAAAGCAAAGCCGGGCTTTGAAATAGCTGCTGCTGCTCGGGGGAGCCGGGGCACCGGGAAGCCCTGAACCCAGGCGGGTGCTGCCTCCCCCAGGGATGCACCAGCACCCGGGCAGCATCAGCCTGGGGTAGGGGCTGGAAGCGGGGCGCCCGGCAGCCTTGCTTTGAGTGCTGAGCTTACAGCGTGAGGCTCAGCCACATCTTTTCACCTCCTTAATGCCATGACACAGGTTATTTTATTTTTTTTCCCAGCTATTCTCTACAGGCTGTAACCAAGCTCTACAAATGCTCAAAGACACACAGAGCCTGATTCTCTTGTGTAAATATTGACGGTAGCCATTCCCAGGAGCCAGGGAAGCGGCTTTCAGCTCTGTTTGCAGGAGCTGGTGGCGTCTGTCTGGGTGCCAGCCGGACCCGCACGCTCGCTGCGGCCCCGGCCGGAGCCGGGCACAGGGCAAGGCAACCGCTCAGCAGCCTTTCCCGGCGGTGCGGAGAAAGGTAAAAGCATGTTAAAGTATAATTGAGGGGTTGCAAATGGTTAACTGCTGCGGCTGAAAGACAACAGGTCAATGCTGAGCTCGCCTGCTGGCTGGCTCACTGCCTCTCTTTTATTATGTTTAAATAATGTCCACTGCTCCCTTTCTGATTGTTGTTTCACAGCCTTGAAATAGAAACGGTATTGATCAGTAAGGCTGAGCATTTACAGACCTCTAGCAATGGACTGGAAAACCCATCTGTGCTTGTCGCTGGGGCCCTGTGCCTGCCCCGGATCTCTGCCCACGCTGGCAGCTGCCAGCCCCTTTGCAGGATGAGGCCACTAAGGGCCCTTGGCCTGGCTTTGGGGGGTCCCCCCTCCCAACCCGCTGCCTCTCAGGCGGTGATGCCTGCACCAATTCACCCATATGATGTTTTTCCCCCTAATCCCTCTCTGGCTGGTGCTCTGCTGCTGTCCACACACAGCCAGAAACTTTCTCTGGATTTTGCTTTCCAATTTTGGCCACAGAGACGTGACCTTTCACTTTCTCCCTTGACAACATCGCCCTCATCGTGGGAGCAGCTGGGCCACCAAGCCTTCAGCATCTGTGACTTGGTCACACACCAAAACCTTTGATCTCTCAGAAAAATGTCCCAGACACCGACACGACAAAAAAAACCCCGGGGTCACTGGCTGGGTGCTCATGGTTGGTCCAGCCCTGCTCCCCATCCAGCCCACAGCTGCAAGGCAAAAAAAGGAGGGCTCTTCCTCCCTCTTTCCCCAAACCCAGGTCTCCCTCGCCCGGCTCCGAGCTGCAGCACAGGGCTGCGGTGCAGGGAGGTCTCCGAGGACCTCACGGGTCCTGCAAAGGGCGGCAGCAACTCGGCTGCTTTCCAGAAAAAAAAAGCTGCACCTGCACAAAGGGCAAAGGCTTTCCTGCAAGAAGGACTGGCTCAAGGGCAGCAGAGGCTGCTCCTATTGCTGAGAAACAGCCTCAGCGCTCTGATGCTGCAGGCCCGTGTCCAAGCACAGCAAGCTACACTAAAAGGGAAAAAAAAAAAGGTATTTAAACCGAAGGGTGCTGGGTTTGCTGTTTCCCAGCCTGCGGCGGTTTGTGCTGCTTGAGCAAGAGCATCCCCTGGGGAAGGGATGCACTGGAGGGGCTCAGCCCTGGGCTGCCCTCCCTGTGCCGTGCTTCACCTCACTGGACCGGCCTGGGTGCAGGAAAAGCTCGCATCGTCCCGGGAAGAGCCACTTTGGTGCCAGGCAGATGCCGCTGCTGCAGCTTCGTGATCGGGCACACGGCAGCAGGGATGGGAACCGACCCCGAGCAGGCAGCTGTGGGTGCCCCTGCGGCTTGTGGGGTTTAAAGCACTGGGGAAGAAGGCAAAGGACTGTGCCCCGGGCACGTCCTGGGGACCTGCAGGGAGCTCTGCCCTGTCCCTGCTCCTCCCAAGGGACCAAGGGTGACTGCGATGCCCTCCACGAGGTTGTACGGCAGCAGCAAACCTGTAAAAAAACCCCTTGCATTCCCCAGGTTTTTCTAGCAGCAGCCGCAGCGTGGTGGGAGCCCTGTGAGTCCTGCGGGCAGCGTACTGCATGCACCCCGGTTGTGGCACGGGGTCATCGCACACCCCTGCCCCGACCGCTGGTTTCGATGAGACTTTTTTGGGTGCTGCCTGTGTAAACCCTTCTCTGGAACTGACTCACAGGGGCACTCGGGCGTGAGGCAGGTGCCTGCCATGGGCAGGTGCTAGAGAAAGGCTCACGGGCAGCGCCGCCCGCGCGGGCAGTGCCCGCTGCAGGCCGG